CCACAATGCAATAAGTTTCAATATGTTTCTGACTAAGGCAATGATACTTCTATCCCTTAAAAATGTGTTTAAGATGAAAAGATGCTTGAGGACTTATATCTTAATATACGAGACATAAAACATTGATTTTAATGACTAATTTCTAAAATTTAGCCATTTTGCTAAGTATGAAGAGTTTCTTTTGTTAGAAATTTTAAGAAATGTTTCTTAATGCTTTGAATATAAGATACGGGAATTAAAAAATTATTCTATTGCAAATTGGAACAAGACATATTTTTAGAATATTTTACTTTGTAGAGATACATTTAAAAAATGTATCTTTAAAGTAAAAACCAAACATTCCCTAATCAAGTGATATATAAAATTAAGACAAAAGAATGCATAAATTATATAACCGTTGGCAAAATAAAATGTTAAAAAAAAATTCTGAAATGAACTTTTAGTACACAAAGTGATACAAAGCTATCTTTAATACTTTCAGAGAGAATAATTGCAGTATCAAAATTCTTCACGTTCTTATTTAGAGTTTCAAAAATTAAGATTGTCTAAATTCGTATTTTTAATAAGTTGAGTATTATGAGGATATTATTATTCTTGCCACATTACTTTAATAAGAGACTCACATTTTGAGATTTTTTTCATTTTTATATATTTGGAGATGCATTTACTGAATGAAACAGTTGTGAATGGTATCAATTCCATTATTCGCCATATTTTATCACTTTAAGTTTGATACAATATATCAATTTATATGGAAAATATTCATGCAAAAATATTTGATTGAAAGCTGATCATTTGAATTACAGTACAGGTTTTGATACGATTTAGATGTTTTAATAAGATTAAGATTTAGATATCAAACCAAAATGTTTCATTAAGCGTGCACTTCTTAAAAAGTGTTAAAAAGCATTTTCAATAACGTTTATTTTTAAAGAACTGCATCTGCAAGAAAAAAAAAAGAAACACTTTTCAAGCGCAAATGATATTATATCACTTTAAGTTTGATACGATATATCAATTTATTTGGAAAATATTCATGCAAAAATATTTGATTGAAAGCTGATCATTTGAATTAAATTGCAGGTTTTAATAAGATTTAGATGTTTTAATAAGATTAAGATTTAGATATCAAACCAAAATGTTTCATTAAGCGTGCATTTCTTTAAAAGTGTTAAAAAGCATTTTCAATAACGTTTATTTTTAAAGAACTGCGTATGCAAAAAAAAAAAAAGCACTTTTTAAGCGCAAATGATGGCTTTTAATTTCTCTTTCAAGCAATAAAATAATTCTTAACATTCAGCTACTTATTACATAATAACTTTTTCGAAAAAAAAAACTTTTTTTTCTTAGTTTTGTTTACAAATTGCAGAAGTCTTTGAAAGCTGGTAAACTTATTTATTCATACGAAAAATATCCTTCAAATTCAGAAATTTTAACTTACAATTGATATTCATAAAATTATAAATCTTAAGGCTTGGAACATTAAAGTTTATTTAAGTGAATAATTAAAAGTGAGTGAACATCAAATTTCGTTTACACACTTTTCGTATGATTTCTCCAAAATATTTTTTGAGTGGTACTGCCATGTGACGTTTTTAACTCAACATATAAAACGAAAATAATGAAATTATTATTTTTATACAAAAAGTGACATTTTATTGCACACTTCATCTAAAAATTACCACCATGCACTTGAACATATACTTCAATAAATTATTTTTAAAATAAATATGTAGAAAACTTTTTCCTTTTAAATTTAAAAGTAAGTACATTTAATGGTTTTACGACTATTTGTAATTTTTTGATGACATGTTTCTTAAGATAATTTATATCATTTTATATTAAAGTCGATCAATAATTCCTCAGTCTAGAGATAAAGTACCATGAGTTTAGGGCATTTGCTGAAAGGTATTTGTTCATAGAGGAACTTTCGGATATAAAATAAAAATTATTTGAAAAAGTTATAAAATTATATTATTTAGTAATAAAATTATATCAGTAATAAAATTATAATATTTAGTAAATCTAACTTCATTTTGCTCATAAAATTCCTTAAATTACGTAAATCACTGATTTAGGCTAATGAATATAAATCGAAGTTCTTGAATTTTCTAACTCTATTTGAAGTATTTTGTAAAAAGAACATTAAAATCGAAAATTAATAGTTCCGTTACTTTGAAAGTTCGGAAATAAAAATTAAATTTACGAACGAAATTAATTTTGTAAATGACTTAATTAATGCCTTAAGGCTAGAACAGGGATTTTAAAATTTGTTTTAACAGGCTGGAAAAAAATTATTATAAATTTTCATCAAAACTACCAATAAATCTGTACTAAACAACACCACAAATAATGCACAAAACTGAAAAGCAAAATACTGACACAATTAATAAATCTAATATAATTCTACTTTTTTAAATTTATTATTAATTTTTGATGTTGTCGGTGGCTCCACGTTATTAGATTGAGTAGAATATGTTTTTAGTAGTTCATTCCATCAAAATAATGATTAAAAATATTCAGTATCTTTTGGAATTATGTTATTGTTCGAGGTCAACTCATGATGATTTAAATTTACCACTACTAAGCGATATTTTTCTGGCACTTATCTCTTTTGAAGGCCAGTAAATCATTTCTTTCTGACTTACATAGATTAAAACTCAACAGAATTAATGCAGTTTTAGTAGGTACCATTTACACTTATTTTAACTACACTGGTAAATTTGGTATTGATTAAAATTGCACTAATTAAGTTATACCAATAGTGTCTATTATCAAAATTGATTAAGCACCATTGGTGTCAATAATAGCATAAAGATAAAGATTTTTTATGTTTCTCCTGTACTAATTAGAAACACTTGTCCATTAATTTTAATTTTCAGTACATAGCTTATTCTTTGTTTCAATTAGTACCTATAACCAAAATTAATTATACATCAAAGGCGTAAATAATAGCATGGCAAATTTTTACGTTTGAGTCATTTCCCAAATAATTTTGGTTTTTGGTGCATAGCTTACAATTTTATTTTAGTGAGTACCTATTTCTAAAATTATTTAGGCATCATTAGCTTCAGTAATATTTGGGCGAGTTTTTTTAATTTTCTTCGTAATGAATTAGAACCATTTCCTCATTAATTATATTTTTAGTACATGGTAAATTTTTACCATTTCATATAGTGCCAAAATAGTTTAGCATCATAAACATCAATAATATTATGGTGATTTACTACGAAATATATCATGGAGATTTACTACTACATCAAAATAGGAATTATTATCATTTCTTCATTAAGTTTTCTTTTTAGCACATATATAATTTTCTTATTCCAATTAGTACCTTAACACCAAAATAAATCAAGCATCATGGATGAAGGACAATACCTGTATGGTAATATTTTACTTTTCTCCTAAACGATTTAGTAGTTTTTTTCACATTCACATTGTTCTTTTAAGTATATATATATATATCAATAAATTATTTT